AGCCTAAGAGCAGCTTATGGTGGTCCTAAGATGTAAATGAACAACATTTGGAAAAAATGGAATTACATTAAACCAAAGCGGAAGTGGCTGGAATCACATTAGAAACAAGAGTCTACTATAATTCAGGGAATAGGATTGTGGAATGGTCTGCCAGATCTATGTACATATTCAAGAGAATGATAAGTCAGTTTTCTGAAGGAATATGGAAAAGCGTAATGTGTATCTTTACAAATTGTTGTTTGAGTTGACGTTGTTTTTATTTAGCTTTGTTAGCTGGAGGGTTAGATGTTTTTTTTTTTTTTCGGAGTGATTCATTCCTTCAAGTCTCGTCTTGTTTTGTAAATTCGATTTTATAGTACTTCAGAATTTTTCCAAGTGGGGTTTTGTGAAAAGGTTATAAACAATACTGTAAATATCTTACCAGTTGCAGATAGCTTGAACAACCTCCAACTGTAGTTGTCTTGTTTACTGAGTTAAGTTCTGTTATAGCTTGTTTCTTTTAAAATTTCATCATTCTGATGCTCTTAAATGCACCATAGCTGTTCCGACGCTTGTGAATGCGCCACACTGTAAAAATGCCATGCCGTATTAGATTTTTTTCTCTCTCGACACAAACAGAATTTTGCTTTTGAGCATCTACACTTTCTCTGTTTACTGCTGGGTGTACTGCCAGAAGAAACAGCAAATAAATGAACCTTAACCATTTTTTCTGATGATTTTTCACGAAATTCCTCTGACCGGCCGCAAAGTTTCCGTTTCACTTCGGGACAAATTGAGGTCGCTGATTGGTCAGTTGATGACACGCCTACTTGTTTGATTGACAGGTCGCATTTGAGGATCTGACTCTTGCAAATAAATTTATAGATTTTCCTGGTCCATTTAAGGTTGTCATCATTCATTCCAAATTTATTCAATATTTTTGGTGAATCTAAGGTTTGAGAACTAAGTTTCCTTACTGAGTTAAATTTTAGGGGTGCTTAAGAAACCCTCCAAAAGAGGCTAAAATCACCACTGCTTTAAATCAAGGGGTTTGTCCAGGTGACGGTGCAGGACGGTTCACTCCATATACAATAAGAGACAGTGTTACACACAGCTGACGCTAATTAAAAACATGCAGCTGTGCATATGGATGTGCAGAAGATGCACACATTTAAAATATTTCCAAGTATAAAAGTAAAAGCCACAACACAATGTATAATATTGAAGTTAATCTTAATATTGTGGGGTTTCTATGTTTTTCTATTGTCTTGTGTGTTTCTCTTCCTTGTGTCACACCTGTCTTCGTTTCTAACCACCCCAGGTGTTTGTCATCGTGTCTTGTCAGTATCTGTATAAAGTCAGTGTCTTTCCATTCCTCCTGTGTCTGGGCATTGTCCTCCTACGGCTGCATGTTCTGCTCCTCCGTCATCTCACTGGAAGTAAGTTTTTGTTGCCCCTTCAGCATTTTGTTTGGTTTATTTAAAAAATAAACTTAAGTACTTATTTTACTTGGAGTCTCCTGTTGCCTTTCTGCATGCGGGTTCAACTTTAAAAGCAAAATCATGTCAAATATTCTTGTTTTGAGAGTTTGTATGTTGAGAACAGAGAATGTTATTAAATTTTGGTACTGGTTCTAATGGACCATAGCCTAAAATTGTAGGGGAGAAATCCTAAAAGTCCACTTTTTAGGGTGGGAGGGTTCAGGAGCAATCCATCTAGCTTGCCTCAAGGTCCAAGAGGTGTGCTGGTCCTGGAGAGAGGGCAGCTTTCAGCCAGTCACCTTCTCAGCAGCACTGATGACCTGCTGCACTCTCCCTTTGTCTTTGGCTACTACTTCCCAGACCTTTGATGAAAGTGAAGAGAATGGATTCATTGATGGAGGAATGGAAATGCACCATCATTGGCTTTAGTAGGTTGAGCTCCTTCACCTGACTCAGGCTGTACATCACCTGCTCTTAATTTTTAAAGGCAGTTAACATTCAGCTCCACCTTCAAGTCCTGGGAAATGATGGTTCTGAGGCAGCAGAAGGATTCCACAATCTCATCTGGGGAGTTATTATCCTGAATAACAATGTTTTTTTTTTTTTTAATCAATCAGTGTTAATCTGAACCACTACAGTTGGGATATTGGAATTGTTTTAAGACAACAGCAATCCCTTTTGGTCCTGGTCCCACTCAGGCTAGCTGCTAACTAAGATAATCATTATTTTCCAAACTGGGATTATCAGAAGAGCTATCAACAACAGGTCAAATACAAATTGTTTATCCCTTTTTCCAAGATCCCTAAATTAAACAATCTGAATTATACATTTAAACTTAGTCAAAGAAGTCATGAAAGTGTGGTCCACACACACGTTTTGTACACTCCAACACAGACCTTTCACACTGACATCTCAGTTTCCTTAGGGCCTCCCAAGGGTTACTGCAGTCATTACCGTTGGCTGTGGTTCTAAAAGGTGACAGACAAAAAGAAAATCTGGAGAAAGATAATAAATGCAGATGATTCCTCTCAGGGCAGGAGAGGTCACTGAATGGTTTGATGAATATGAAAATTATGTGAATTATATGCCCTGGCCTTCAAAGCCACTTGGGGCCAGATGTACAAACTTTGCTCGTGGACAAAATTCATCTCTTTTGACCTCAAAGAAGATGCTTATTGGAATATGTGGTGAAGTTGTACCTCGTATGTTCATGCCATTGTCAAACACATTTGTTTTGCTTTGGTGTAGAAATTGAAAGATAAGGATTGCAATGCACAGATCTCACATTTCTCTTGTTGAACACTCAGAGTAAGGGAGGACCGGAACTGATCTTGGCAACTTGCGATATCCCAGAAATGTGTCAATTTTGAAGTAAAGTTCTGTCTAATAGTTATCATTTCTTGTTTTATCAGTTTTAAAACACAGTGTGGTGAAAAGGGCTGTGTCCTGGCTAACGATTAGCCAAATGATTGTCTGTTTCATATTGTTATGTTCATTATTGCCTTAGAAAGCAGCTCTTTCTCAAAAGCTTTTGCATGGCATCGTTTGTGTAATCTGTTGGTGTTTTCTTAACAGAGAAATGTGTGTGTTACTATGAAAATGTGTGTGTGCTGAGCACTGATAGATTGTGTAATTGTTAGTGTTCTGACCCTGCTGAATGTATCAGTCCACCCGGAGTTGAGTAAACCTTTTTGACAGACTAGATGCTCTGAACAGGCAAACCAACGCATTGTCAACCTCAGCGCCATTGATATATAATGATCTGTGCTCAGAACACATACATTATATTTTTGTCGTAACACAGACATTATTTGGTTGAGAAAACAGCATCAAGCTAAAGAAACAGTCATGTAAAAGTGTTGATGCATACTTTTTGGCTAACGTAGCGTCTTTTTACACCAGTATGTCGTAGTTAAGAAAATAATTATTTTATAAGTCTGGAAACATTATAAAACAGACTCTTGTTATCAATCAGAACTGGACTTTTGCATTTTTCTCCACGTAGACTATTCACATACTGACAAGGATCAGGTTTTTGGATTCAGTAACACAGCCAGACAACAAGAAGGGTTGAAAAAGTTTGTTTTGTAGCTGCTGGTGGGAGTCTGGATCCAGTGTGGGGACAAATCTGCAGAGATATGACAGTTGGCTGTATGTTTCTGGAAACTCGTTTGTAAACAGAGAAACAGCCACTAACCTTCTCAGGCTGACGAGGTGGGAGTCACCTGTTGGAACTTGATGAGATGACGTCACTGCAACTGGTGGAAGAGCAGCTGCAGAGTAATGCTGTGATTAATACGAGCAGTGGGGCAATCCAGGGCTGTGGTCTGAAAGACGAAGCAGGAATCAAGCACAGGGAGTCAGAGGTCCAAATACAAATCCAGTGTGTAGTCCGTAATCTAGAATCCGTAGGCCAGAAAAAGTTGTAGTTACCAGGACTAGAAGGGCAGACGAAGACCAGATGGGGAGCAGGAAGAGCGGTAAATCCATAAGATAGGCGTGGGGTCAAGACAAGAGAATCAGACAAGAATGTGAACCAAGTGCTGGACATCTAGTACCATAAAGGGTTCAATTATCTGGCAGAGGTTTGTTGTGGATGGGGCTCTTAAATAGTGTGGAGCAGGTGCAGGGCAAGATCGCTGATGACCGGTGGAGAAGTGAGCGTGGCAGGTGGCAGAGAGAGGTGAAATATGACACATAATTTTTCTATTGCTACTGGATACATTAGTGATGAGGTGCTGATAAGGTACCAGCTGTTGACAACTACTTGACAGATCATCAATTCAGAACTGACCAAACTATCCTTTCATTGTCTCAGCAACAAAAGAAACTTTCCAGATGACCTGACCGAACATTGTTGGATTATTACCTGGTTTAATGAGCATGAACTTGGGTGTATCCTTTAGCTTTTTTATGTCTGTACTTTGTCCCCCTGTAACTGACAGTTAAGTTTATGTTAAATATTTATTTTTCATTTAATTTATTCACAAATTGGCAGATGTTGTTTCATTTGTCTAACAATATTGTTACCATTAATGATGGTTAGAAGTGGTTGAGCGGAGTATTGCCGACTTGTTAACCATGTAGAGTGCTGATAAGTAGGATACAAGATCAGCTGTATTTGTGCATATGATGTTAATGTGCTGCTTAAATGCATGTATGCATGAAATGTACATACCCCTGAAAAGTATTTTTTATAGTTTAATTTGTGTTTTATACCCCTCACAGTGGCTAAAGTGATCGGGCAATGGAAGTAAAGTTGAGTCGTTGCTCAGCTAAATAAAGCCATCATTTAACAAGAGCTTGTCCTTAGTGAGTTTCTAGAGGGATCATCATCCCATCTGTCATTTATTGAATAAATTATACATTCACTGTCAGCTCTATGGGAACAAAACGTGTCTTTGCAATAATGCTGTCTTGTAAGTTTGAACTTCAGTTCATGTTAGCGCCTGCTAAACAAAGTAGGTTCACAATAAACCTTTGATCATTCTGATTAATGTTCCAACTCTGTCCTGGTGTTGACCTTTAACCTTGTGTCACTTGGTTTGAACGTGTAAGCATTTTGGCCATCCTGCTGAACTGTGTGACTTTGGGGATGTTCCAGCCCTGTGGCCACACCCCTCACCTGTTGCAGGTAACACACACACATAATCTGACACTTGAAGTTTGAAACTAGTTACATTCAGCTGTGTGACTATTCTCAAAGCTCTGAGAAGTTTTTGTTTTGATTTTCATTTGAATTGATTAATTTTCACCAATCCTTTCTGTGTGTGCGTGTTTGTGTTTGTATGTGTGTGTGTTTGTGTTTGTGCACAGGCCCTAGATGATGGTATCTTTGTCTTCTTTGCCGGAGAAATGCTGGTGAAGATGGTGGCTCTTGGGGTCATAGGTCAGAAAGGTTATCTGGGCGACACATGGAACAGATTGGACTTCTTCATTGTTATTGTGGGGTGAGCGCCTTACAGACACACATCCACATGCACATATACTCCTCTGACATTAAATACGAGCCAAAAGTGTGTATGTGTGTGTTTTGTGTAAAGCTTAGACACTTGTTTAATGCCAATTAAATGTCAAGCATGTGTTTGCGCGTGCACAGATGTACAGATGGAGGTGTGTGTGTGTGTGTGTAGCTACGATTACTTCACAGAATGATAATTACTCGGTCCGGAGAGACACAGACCTCAGTGGTTTGTACTTAAAAAGCTGTTTATCCCTGAGAATGCAGTCCCTGTAGACTCTCAGAATTTGCCAAGGTCAGGTCAATCAGGGTGCCAAAAACATGTTGGTGGCTCTCCCTCCCTGCAGCATGCTGGAGTATTCTCTGGATGGACACAACGTCAGCCTATCAGCTATTCGGACCGTCCGAGTCCTCCGCCCACTACGAGCCATCAACAGAGTTCCCAGTGAGTTTCTCTCTCTTTTTTTTTTTTCTCCAACATTCAGCTTCATGTAATATTTAGATAAGAAATTTATTAGTATTTCTTGTGTTTTGATTGTAAATTGACATTACCGTTAAGTTCTGACCTAAAAATTCCATTTTCAGTGGCTGCTTCATGTTTTTTGAGTACCGTATTTTTTGCTGTATAACTCACAATCTTTTGCCTAATTTGCATGCCCTGCGACTTATACGCCGAAGCAAAGTATTTATGAAACTAAAACTTCATCAAACTAAACAAACAATGGAAAAGTGTAGAAATGTAATTTTGGTTACTATAACATTTATTCGCACTTGTTTGACATTTTTAAGAAATTTGTTTCATAAACCTGAGTAATTATATAAAACAGGTTGTTGTTAAGCTAGCCATTAGCCTAGCCTACACAAAGACCTTTTTCATCACACTTTGTTTGATGACCGATACCATGGCAAGGTACTAACTATTGATAACTATCTGATAGAACATTACTTATCAAAAACAAAGACCAAATGAGCAAACGTCCCCTTTAAGGACAGTGCAAACCTCTCAAACTGTTATGTTTAACTGAACGCCCAGAGACAAGGACTAAGGAGTGAAGAAACTTAAAGACAGAGAATAAAATGTAAGTGATTTTAGCACATCAGGAACTCTGAGGAGCAAGGACAGGAGTTAGATGATATTTTCCAAGACAATATTGTTGGTAGATTTCAGATCTTACTGTAGGTTGGGTAGTAGGGCGTTTGGTTAGAAGGCGAGGAAGACAGCTGAGGAGACACAAGAGATTTCCAGGGGTTCTTCAAAGAAGTCCAGGCACAGGTAGTTCACAAGGAGGGATGATGTAAATAGCAAAAGGAACACGGGTACATATTTCTCAAAGATCATAGAATACAAAAGGGCTAGAAGCATGACTACCCGAGGCATGTAATGCTCCAGCGGTGAGGAGAAGTCATCTACTGCCTTTCATACTCCTTGTGTCTCATTAAGGAGATTTTCTTCAGGTGTGGAAATGTTGGCATCATCTAGTGTCTTCAGAGTAGCAGGAAAAACTGGAACTCCCACACACAAAAAAAGGAAACGTTTTGTATAAATGGTTTAAGACACTGAGATGACTTCCAACTACAAAGCACAATATTGTGTGATAAGAAAAAAATTTGTGCCCTTTTGAATTTTTTTCAGAACTTTTTTGTCCCAATAACTACTGATACAAAATATTCATAAATAGACTATTACGGTGCACGTAAGTATAAGCACCCACATGGTACATCTACAATAAAAAAAAAAACAAAAAAAAAAACTGATTGTCTGTTTGACTTGCTATAGACCAAGCTGAAGGCACAATGCCCAGAAGCAAACAGGAAGAGGAGATGGCTGCAGTACAATCCTGGCAGAGACATCAGCAGAAACAGTCTGCTGATCTTTCTGGGTTTCAAAAAGCCGTTTGCTGAACAAAACCATAAATATGATGACCGTGCAGGACATGTCCAAGTTTATAATAATTTGTCAACTTTCAGTTCCTGCTAATTGGACTCTATGCAGCTGTTTCTGCACATTCTGCATGGCTTATCTGTCGTTGGGGTGTCCTCAGCTGAAAGTCAGCAAACTCACCACTCACAGCCACGACCGTGAAAAATGTGTAAAATGTCCTTATGCTTTTATCAAATTGCAATAACTTGTTTTCTTTAACCAGAAACAGAAGCTATTTGTTACCTATTTGTTCTACTTTAGTTTTGTGGAAAATATTTAAATATTTCTTACTTTTCTGGTTAATTTAAATGATGTCCTGTCAATGAGAAGAAATAAATTCTTGGTGTCTTGGTGCTCACAGTGTATGTGTTTTGGCAGGTATGCGTATTTTGGTGACCCTCCTGCTGGACACACTTCCTATGCTGGGCAACGTGCTGGCACTCTGCTTCTTTGTCTTCTTCATCTTCGGCATTGTTGGTGTTCAGCTCTGGGCGGGGCTACTGAGGAATCGCTGTTTCATGGGAGAGGATGTCAGAATGTAAGTTACCGTGGTAACCAACAACAAAGACTCCTCCGAGGAGATGAATCACTTGGAGAAAAACAAAACTTTCAAAATTTGTAGCACACTCCAGCCCCACATGTAAAATCAAAACCTTTATGATTACCTGCTGCCATTTTAGTCTATGTCTCTCTGTGTGTGTGTGTTGTGTGTGTGTGTGTGTGTGTGTGTGTGTGTGTGTGTGTGTGTGTGT